GCAGCAGTGTGCATCAGCAGTCCAAAAAAAGAATACAATCCTGGGTTGTATAAACAGAGGCATAGAATCAAGATCACACAAAATATTAGTACCGCTTTATAAAACCCTAGTAAGACTACACCTGGAATACTGCAACCAATTTTGGTCACCATACTACAAAAAAGATGTTGAGACCTTGGAAAAAGTTCAGAGAAGAGCAACTAAAATGATCAAAGACCTGGGGACTAGAACATATGAAGAACGGCTGCAGGACTTGGGTTTGGCTAGTCTAAAGAAAAGAAGAAATAAGGGTGACATGTTAGCAGTATTCCAGTACTTGAGGGGCTGCCACAAAGAAGAGGGGGTCAAACTATTCTCCAAAGCACCAGAGGGCAGGACGAGAAACAATGGTTGGAAACTGATCAAAGAAAGAAGCAACCCAGAATTAAAGAGAAAATTCCTAACAGTGAGGACGATTAACCAATGGAACAGCTTGCCCTCAGAAATCATTGATGCTCCATCATTGGAGGTTTTTAAGAAGAGACTGGACAGTCACTCGTCTGAAGTGGTATAGGTTCTCCTGCTTGAGCAGGGGGCTGGACTAGAAGACCTCCAAGGTCCCTTCCAGCTCTATTCTATTCTAAATGTTCAGAACTGGCAGAGGAAGCTAATCTTGCTGCCAAGTTATCTTGACTAGCTGTTTGCAATGTTTTTGCATTTTTGATTCTACATCATATCAACAACATGGAGAGTGTGTATCCGTTGCTGTGTTTGATTGCTTCTAAATTTTCCAGTTTGGATAGATATTTATCTTACATGAGAAAGGATGAGGGGGAGGGGAAGAGAAGAGAAAAACCAGTCTCATTCCTAGCTACACTCTATAAATGTCTAAATAATGTGGCAACAGCAGCAGTTTGAAGTAACTTGACAAGTAGAAAGGTCACCATATCCATAAGTTTGATCAGTGGATGGTTTTTTGAAAGATTTTAAATCTCATTATCCACTGCTTATAAAGTCATGAGATACATAAAAAAAGACTTTTTGTAGTAATGAAATAACTCACGCAATTAGCCAGAAGGCAACTGTCTATCTTTTTAAACTGCTCAGTTCAGAGAAGACCTGGAGTGTCAACCACTGGTAGAGAATGAGTTGTTATGACAATGATAAGTAGGTTTTTTTATTATAAAAAAAATACTGAACATTGTAGATTTCAGTACTTCACCTAAGATATGCAGGTGAGTGATTTGCCAAGCAAAATAAATATTTTTAAACTTTGTAATAATTAACTGAGAAATTCTAATTAGATTAAATGATAACTTCATGTATTTTATGTGTATTACAACTAGGTGAATATACATCACCATCAGGCTGAATTATGGTAATTAAAAATCAGTTCATCAATATAACAATCAGTTTGCATATTAAACACACTCTGGACTCATTAAGTCACCATCTGGGAAAGCCTCTCATTTGGGTCATTCCATGTCAAGTGGTCTGGAGGTCCCTGCTCCACCATCACGGATTTTGATGAAATTTTGTGTGAACATGCACACATGTCCCCAATGAACATTGGTAAAGTTTTATGTTTGTCAATGCAATACTTGCAGAGATATAGTCATTTGTTTGACCCCATACTACAGCCTTCTACCATATGACTATGAAATTCCAGCAACTTTGAGACATATCTCCAGCAATATTTTGTTGAGAGTAATAAAACTTGACCATCTTGTACAACTTTTTGTGCTCTATTAAACAAAATAATAAACACATTCTCATGAGCAATCTCCATCTTGATAATTTGGAGCAAACTTGGCCAAAAATATTGCGGGTCAAAAAAAAGTTCAAAGTTTGGCTTTTTATATCTCTGGAATGAAATTTTATATTTGAAAATCTTGTGTTGCTAGGTTATTACACACCAAGTTTCACATTTATCATATCTTTCCTTCCAGAGATATAAAAAACCAAACTGAACTTTTTTTGAGCCGCAATATTTTTGGCCAAGTTTGCTCCAAATTATCTAGATGGAGATCACTCATGAGAATGTGTTTATTATTTTGTTTAATAGAGCACAAAAAGTTGTACAAGATGGCCAAGTTTTATTTCTCTCAACAAAATATTGCCGGAGATATTATGTCTCAAAGTTGCTGGAATTTCATAATCATATGGTAGAAGGCTGCGTTATGGGGTCAAACAAATGACTATATTTCCACAAGTATTGCATTGACAAACATAAAACTTTACCAATGTTCATTGGGGACATCTGTGTATGTTCACACAAAATTTTATCAAAATCCATGATGGTTGAGCAGGACACTTTTCTGAAATCAGACCACTTGACATGGAATGACCCATTTGGCTTATCATCTGGATGTCATATATGCTGGCTGTATGTATTTAAGATTCATTGTATTATAGTTGAGCTATGTAGCTTTTATGTTGAATGGTATAGGATTTACAAAATGTGTGACCTTTACCAAATATCTAACTATGTTGATGAATTTCAAATGATTATAAAGAAAAGAAGGGTTGTATCCTAAGTGCTTTCTATTTTACAAGGAAATCACATGAAAATGAAAAAAGTCTAATGGTCATGATTTTTATTTTTAATTTGGGGGAAAAGTTCAGTGAGAATTTAACATATACTGTGAAATGAAATAATTTCCTTATACAGTCATAGTATTCTGATTGAAACAATAGAATTTATGGTATATCCCTTCCATAAGAAGCTAATGAATCCTAGCAAATGGGCATTAGACCTTCTATATTCTATACGGTAGCCAGTAAATGATCTTCTGCTACATTCTGTAAACAGAAAGTTCAGATTGTTTAAATAAAGATTGATATTTTCAATAGTCATATGGAGCTTCCTAAAGAAGAGCAAGATAAAATAATCAAGTACGTACATAAAATATAGTTAAATTTTTAGCCAACTATCATGTATAAACAGAGGAATAGAATCAAGATCATGCAAAGTATTAGTACCACTTTATAAAACCCTAGTAGGACCACATCTGGAATACTGCAACCAATTTTGGTCACTATACCACAAAAAAGATGCTGAGACGTTGGAAAAAGTTCAGAGAAGAGCAACTAAAATGATTAAAGGCCTGGAGACTAAAACAAATGAAGAAGGGCTGCAGGACTTGGGTTTGTCTAGTCTAAAGAAAAGAAGAAATAGGGGAGACATGATAGCAGTGTTCCAGTATCTGAGGAGCTGCCACAAGGCACAGGGGGCCAGGTTGTTCACCAAAGGACCAGATGAAAGGACAAGAAACAATGGATGGAAACTGATCAAAAAGAGAAGCAACTGGAATTAAGGAGAAACTTTCTGACAATGAGGACAATCAACCAGTGGAACAGCTTACCCCCAGAAATCATGGGTGCTCCATCACTGGAGATTTTTAAGAAGATACTAGACGTTCACCTGTCTGAGACGATATAGGTTCTTCTGCTTGAGCAGGGAGCTGAACTAGAAGACCTCCAAGGTCCCTTCCAGCTCTATTCTATTCTGTTCTGTTCTGTTCCGTTCCGTTCCACTCCACTCCACTCCACTCCGTTCCGTTCCGTTCCATTCCATTCCATTCCATTCCATTCCATTCTATTCTATTCTATTCTATTCTATTCTATGTTGATTGCATTATGCTCCTTGCACATTTGATAGCTGAGACTAATTTGGTTATGTTTAAATCTGTGTCTGATTGTATAGATCTTCTTTAAAACCCCTTTATTTAGTGAATGTATTTACAGACCTCTGATGCAATATAGACGTAGAGGCTTAGTAGGCCTGATTCAAGATATCACATTAGTAATTCATTTCAGAGACAAGAAACAGAGCCCCATTCTGTTGATAACCAGTAAGGTCTTTATTTAGCACAACAATATATTCAGCATCAGTTACAAAATGGCCATGAATAACAGGAAAGAATGTGTTGGAAAAAAAATCTTCATCAGGGTCCAGTCCAAGCCGGGAATAAACAAAATGGAGACTGCTTTAGAAAGAAGGTTGTAGTTTATTGAAGAGCAGAACCACAAAACATGAGGCTCTGGAGTAGCTGACCACATGTAGCTGGGAGTGGTGGGTTTTTATACCTCCTTGGGCGTTTGTGTTTGGAGTTATTCTTCCTATTCCTGTGGCATGAACTTTGACCTGAGCTTCTAAACATGTCTTTTCAGTATTCTGATTGTGGTGAGTTAATCCTATTATGTCCTAAAAGTCATATCCTGCTTCTCTGTGGCTGTGGCTGATGGCTTCCTGTGTTGGATTTCTTGGGTAAGGAGTTGCTGGTTCTAATTCTATCACTCTACTATTGTTAGCTCTCAGTTTTGCTGCAGGGGATTTCAAAATATTTTGTCTTGAATGGGCTTCTGCCTGGTGGTATTTTCTCATGAATGGGGCTGAATGGGATTATCAAATCTGCATTTCTAAAAGGTGGTTTCCTGAGTTTCTACTGGGGGCTATTAAGAAAAACTGGGCCTGCTTTTCTGCCTTTAAGATCCTTTGGGGAAATATAATATTCTGCCTTTTTAATATTCCCCAAAATATTTCTTTCTCTGGGGGGGGGGGCTGCTGTCCTCCTACAAATTAGATTAAAAAAGGGCTTGCATCAGATTTCATTCTCATTCTGTATTGCTCAAGAATGATAGTTAAGTATAGATATGGATCATTTCATTTTGAATGTTTTAAGACTATGGACCCCAGCTGATCACATCCTTTTCTTTCTGAAAATAGAAGATAATGTTGATTGCATGATCACTATATTAATCAGCCAGGTGTTCTACAGTATATATTGTTTTTTTAGGTTATTTAAACCTACTACCAGTTTCAAACTATGTGTTATTAATACAAATTAAGAAATTATGATTATCACAATGTTCTAATACACACACACACAAACACACACACACACACACACACAGAGAGAGAGAGAGAGAGAGAGAGAGAGAGAGAGAGAGAGAGAGAGAGAGAGAGAGAGAGAGAGAGATGCAGAAACACTAATTTATGGAATCTTTGTTTTGCTTAGGTCAATGGGAAAGAGCTTTCCAAAGTTACTAAAGAAGAGGCAGTGGAGGCTTTTTGTAATGTGAAGGAGCCCATAGTAGTCCAGCTTCTACAAGGAGCACCTCTTATTAAGACATATGGGAGCGCACAAGATGTTCAACTCATGGATGCTAGCACACAGACAGATATCACGTTTGAACACATTATGGCTCTGGCCAAGTTAAGGTCATCAACACCTCCAGTACCTGATATCTGTCCATTCCTGCTTTCTGACAGGTATGGAACAACATTTCTATCAAACTGTGCAAGAAATCCTTATTATTACTAATTTCTTTTTTTTACTAATTACATAAGATGCTGCTTTCCACTGCATAAAGCAATTCATTCAAGACTTAGTTTTGTCCTAACTGACTGGTTGTAATTTTTCAAGGTTTCAATAAGCATGTTTGTAAGTATCTCAATTAATTAATTATTTAATTTCTTCTCTTTTAATGTGGTTATCTGTAACAAACTGAAGAGGTTAAAATGTTTCTCCTCCTTTTATTCTTTCTTAGTGAATCTTCCTCCATAGAGTGAATGATTATCCTTCTTCCAGCTATTAGTCATCTAGGCATCACTTTTAAGTGCCAAGAAATCCATTTTAGCCTGCATGTGTGTGGTTTTTTTCATGCATATCCGGCACATTCTTTAGCTTTGCAGACTTAAAAGAAAGAAGTATGAACAGCACTATTTTTGCCCCAAAAGATAAATAGAAGAAATTAACACTTTCATCTTGTTCTAAAGGTCCATATTATCATGTCAAATATCAGTCCAAGTGATACTCCTAAAACCTTTTATTCACAAAACAATAGTTGAACATATAATTTGCCCAAAATTGTTTAGTCTCTTCCACATTTGAAGCAAAACTGAGTTTTAGCCTGCCAGTTTTGTTCAAGGTGGTGCCAGCAACTACATAATTGAAGCCCTTTTTACTGAAACTTTTGACTATACTGTTGAAGCTTTCTTAGGCACATGGTATGTAAAAGGAGTTGGGAGTTCATAACATTGCAACTGCATTCACTCAAATAATCAAATATCATAAAATCGCTTATGCCCGACTTGTTTTTCTGCTATTTTATTCCATATAGCTGCCATTCTCTTCATCCTGTTGACCATAAATTTTATGAAGGTAGTGAATATCTATCCAACTTGCCTGCTGATGTAGACAAAACTGAGGACTTTGAGTGTGAGGTAAGAGAATTGTTGCATTCTTCCATGTATACATATGAAGACACAAACCAAAACATAATATTAATTAAAAGTTAAATATTGAGTGCTTATATCTCCATGCAATAGAAGGCCTGTTTTTTCTCAGAACAACTCCAAGGTAGGTGGGGCTGAAGTTCACTAATGAGTTTCTATAGTTGAGATGGACTAGAAAGCAGCATCAATTTGAGTCTCATACACATGTGCATTTACAGGGCTTTTTTTCAAAAACTATGGAAAACATCCATACACATATGGGTAGCCCTCGATTTATGATCACAATTAAGACTAGAATTTGCATTGCTAAGCAAGGCAGTTGTTAAATGACTTGGGCCTGATTTTATGTCCTTTTGCCGCTCTTATTAAGCAAATTACTATTAATGGGTCATTAAGTGAATCTGGCTTTCCCCATTGACTTTGCTTGTCAAAAGCTGGCTGGGAAAATTGCAAATAATGATCACATGACACAGGGATGCTACTACAACTGTCATAAATACAAATTGGTTACCACACACCCAAATCATGTGACCATGGTGATGCTGCAACAGTTGTAAATGCAAGAACCAGTTATAAGCTGTATTTTTCAATACAGTTGTAACTTTGAACTTGCAAAACACATGGTTGCAAATCAAGGACTACCTGTATTTCTTATTTATATATAATTTTTATTTTAAAAAGCCCCCATCATATTTCTATTGATTTCATTTATGTAGTGAATCACGTCCATTTGGATCTGGAAATGAGTATGTGAACTGAATATTGTGAATACTGGATAATGGATACCTTAGGACACTGATGGCGAACCTTTTAGAGACTGAGTGCCCAAACTGCAACCCAAAACCCACTTATGTATCATCGGGTGCTGGGTGGGCGTGGCCAATTAGGTGGGTGTGCCCCATTGGGTGGGCATGGCTGCGGTGGTAATGGCAGACTGGGTGGGACTAAAAAGTTCAATCAATCAATTCCAACTTTGCAAAATTTTCTTTTCCCCCGAGGTTGAAATTGATTGATTGAACCTTTTTTTTTTTTTTACACACGGCGATGGAGGCCTAAAGCGAAAAGGTTTTATAAAACCCCAATGAAGGCCTAGAACTGGGGCGATGGCATAGGTTCGCCACCACGGCCTTAGGATGATTAAAGCAAATCTTAAAGCAAAATATAAAGCTGCCTTGGTTTTATAGGTTGAAGAAAATATAGAACTGATTGATGCTGCTATCCTTTATGTTTCTACTCAAAAGCAATTCCACTTTATGACAGTAGGTATTATTTTTAGGCAAATAGATAAAATAGTATGGCAGCCTTTAATATTTGATTTCAAAAGAGAGTAGAAAAATAATTTTCCCCCTACATTTCTAACTTGATCTTACAGGAATATGTATTCAGATCACTTCAAATCAAGAGCTTGAAAATGTCTTTGTCTACTTCCTTTGTGTGAAATTTCCTAAATATAAAACAATGGGAGCATTCAAACAGTGCCATGAATATCTTTTTCTATTGTGTATTTATTTTACCAGGGTGATTGTATGAGCTGTTTATAAAAGCTATAATGTATTGTCCAAATAACAATGTACTTTTAGAAATATTTTTCTTCATTTGATTTGCATTGCAGAATCTAAAACTCCTCCTTATTTTGTCATTCAATCTATTTATCTTAACCCAGTTATCAAGTGTTATAAAATATTATATACAAAAATTAACTGAAATGTATATTATTTTTTGGTATAGATTTAAGCAAAAATAAGATTTTACTATTTTTCCTTAAATAGCTATTACACTGTGGCACTTGGAAATAAGAGGGAGGAAGCCATTTATCTTTCCTAGTATTTGTCTTATCTCAAACTATGTAATGAAACCTTGCTTGATATTTGGAAATCAAATAGATTAGTTGAACCTTTGATAAATAAGCAAATGAGTACTTCTTATGGCAGTCTCTTTAGAAAAGACCAAGATGCCTACAGTTTGTCCCTTAGGACAAAGGAAAATAAAATACTGTTGGCTTACTAGAGTTTGCTCAAGATGAAATTTTATTTGTGGATTCTGAATACTTCAGTGCATCACAGATAGAAATATGGGAAAGAAAAACAATTGTAATATTTAATTGTTTAAAAGCATATGCACATAAAATCATTTGAAAGACAGCCATGATTTATAACAAATAATTTAAAAGTCCAAAGTTAAAAATGGAGAAAAAATATTTTCTGTTTAATCTCTTGATCTTAGACAAAAGGCTGAGGTGATTTAATCAGATATATTTTCATTAGCTTGGAATCTTAATGGTTTACATTATCATAATCATTAATTTACTGTTAGCTTTTATACAGTAGCCAAGGAAAATTCACCAACTACCTAAAATAAAACATATTTCATGTGAATTTTAAGGAAGAAGCTATCTGTTTTGCAGTAATGGAAACTTCCAAGGAAATGACTATTTATCTGACCAATTAAGATCAGAAAGATTGTTTTTGAGCTTTTAAAAAGGTACTGTGTTATAGGATCCAGTATTTATTAGCCTCAATTGTCCCTAGAGGTTAAATTCAAACTCCTTGTTCATCTAAGGCAGGGGTGTCAAACTGCTGGCCCATGGGCTGGATGCGTCATGGCAAAGCCACGCCCACCTCATTGCCGGCAATGGAAAAAAGTTGCGATACATCGCAACATGTCACATGACGTTGCAAGTTTGACACCCCTGATCTAAGGCAACTAATACTAGTGGGCAAGAAAAGAGGTGGCCTGCCCTAAATTCTTTAACCCAGCTTGCTTGCTTCTGGTGCAATGGGGTATGCTATCTCTGTTCTGGTATGGAATTAAGATTTGCTTCATCCTGTTTAGCTTCTGTATATGAATGAAGGAAATGTTTCACCTTAAAAAGCAAACTGTCTCCCAGCAGCTCTGCCTTCCATGATTGCACTTTGTCAAGGTGAAAATAAAGCAGTGGAAAACTGAATGCTGTAATGCCTCTTCCAACTGCTCAGAGCAACTGGCTAGCTGCATATGTAATGTATGCAGCATGAAAAGTGATTTATTTTAATAAAGACTTCATTGACTTCTTTGCGGTGGAGTTAGTTACAAAATTAGGTATTTCTGTATTTACTCAAACCATCTTTGGCTTCATTTTTCTTGGTGGTCTGTCTGTCAAGATTCTGATAGACAAGACCAAATAAATCAGAACTCCAAGATTAGATGTTTCCTCAAAGAACATGTTTATTGGTTACATAGTATAGGCATGGTCAAAAGTGAAACCAAGTCTGAAATTCCCTCCAAAGAGTTACACTATTACAAAGTTAAACTTCTTACCCCAGGGCTATGCAATCAGCTACATTTCCCAATAAAATGGATTGCCGGGCTTTCTACCCAAATGTTCCCTCTCCCAATCTAACCAGCAGAAATGACCTTGGTTCCCATGGGACAATGACTTTTTAAAACTAGCTGAAATTCTCCACACACACACACACACACACACACACACACACACACACACCATCTTTGTGGCAACGTAGTATGAACAACATGGCTGCAGCCAGGTTTGTTGTAGAGTTGACAGTTGGACCCCCTAAGAAGAGAGCAAGTCCTGTAGAGGGAACAAAAATACAAGTCAGGAATCCCCCCTGGGTTTCTGAGGGTGTTTGTCATAAAACCTCCATATTAATCTGTCTACTTTCACATCCATACATTTCACCCAGGTGGCTTCTGACAAGGGGTAATCTTTCCATTGAACTAAATATTGTAACTTTTCCTTTTACAATCTAGAATCAAGAATACATTTTATCTCATAATGTGTTTCTCCCTCTACTACAATGGGAGCTGGTGCCTTTTTTTGTGACCTGTTTTAACAAACTGCAATAGAAAATGGGGTGAACTTTCCCTAATAGCTGTGGGAGTTTCAACTGAACTGTGACAGGATTTATAATTCTGATTATACGGAAAGGACCGAGAAACTTAGGTCCTATTTTTTTGCTAGGTAATTTCAACCTTAGATATTTAGTGGAGAAGTAAATCTTCTCCCCCACATGGAATGGCCTCTAGGGGGACTGCTTCTTATTGGTTTGTTCCTTGTACATCTTAGCTGTTTGGGCTAATGTTGTCTTTACGTTCACCTAAATGGGTTGCAAAGAAGTCACCCACTGATCTAGGGTCTGTGAAGTAGGAGGTTCTTGGGGGTATTCAGGAATAGGGACAAACTCCTAACCAGTAGCTATTTTGTATGGAGTAAGTCCAGTGCTACTGTATACAGTATTGTTGTATGCCACTTCGGCGAAAGGCGGGAGGTCAGCCCAAATAGTCTGTTGGTAGTTAACATAGCATCTGAGGTATTGTTCCACCATTGTGTTCTTACGTTCAGCTGATCCATTCTTTGTCAGTTCTACAAATGAGCATGGCTGCAACCATTTTTCCTACTCATTTTTGGTTGCCACATAGAACAAAGGGAGGTCATTGCTCAGGTGCTTCACTAGTCAAAATAATCTTTTGTCCTATGGGAACCAAGAACATCAGCTGCTCCCGAGACTGCAGGCTGGGTGTTGCATACAAAGGCCACCAAGAAGATGTATTGGGGAACATAGTTGCTTGCATAGTTTTAGGGGTGTGATTTTTTTTAACTTTGTATTGGGGAATTGTTATGTGTGTGTCTCCAGATTTGATTTCACTTTTGATGTGCTGATATGTTGTGAGTCCGTGCCAGCCAGTGGACCTGGCAGCTGAGTCCGGGGAATCAGAGGAGGAGGAGGAAGAGGGGTTTGGAGAGCCATCAGAGTCAGAGGGAGGCTCTGATGAGTTATAAGACTCACAATCTGATGAAGAGCCTGGCCTCTCCAATCGTGATCAGGATGAGACACATCTGTGTGGGGAAGATGAGTCAGACTTTGAGGACTCACAGCTGGAAGTCATTAGAGATGCTCGTAAAAGAAGGCAGTTAACTAGAGCAGGTAAGAGGGAGTCAATACGGCAACTCCAAGAAAGGAGAAGGCATTGAGAAGCCACGCCTTGGGGCTACTTAATAAAAAATGAAGGTGTGGGCGGTGCTGATTGCTGAAAGCAACTGTTGCAAAGTACTTCATGGGATCATGTTCTTTTGGTATTGCCGGTGACTAATTCCTTGTTTTGCATTGTGTTTCATGTGGACAATTTCCTCCATTTGGATTGTGTTTTGTTGCTTTTGTTTTTGGACCATTTGGCAGGTTTGTTACCAATATTAAAAGGGGTTTTGTTTTCTTCTGAGTCTCCAGCCTATTTCTCAAAAGGGGTTTTGTCCTTGTGCATTTAACAAGGACGGCTATGGGCTGGGACAGAACACGATACTTTGTAACTAATAAATATGTTTTTTGAGGAATTTACAAGCTTCTGAGTTCTGCTTTATTTATCTCTGTCTGCTGACACCTTGACTCATAACAAAGTCTCATAAAACTTTGTTTTCTTGGGGTGCTGGGCTCTGACCGCCTACCCACTCACTTTTGGGAGAGTGGTAAAGACTCAGCAAAGACTCGAGTTGGAGGAGAAAATTGAAATCGCTGCTAGCTGCAACAGGACTCAGGCTGTTGGAGCACAGGCTGGCACTCCAGCCACAGAGAAAGTGTCACTGAAAACCAGGTTGATCCAACCTGGGAAGCTGGTATTGTAGGAAGGAGCTACAGTCCTAGGAAAACTCTACCAAGCCAAGGCTGCCCCTCAGCACAGGAGCACTCCTGTAACCACTGGAGGGGAGCTCTTATTACTGCCGTCCCAGGGTTCTTTATCTGCAGACAGAAAAAAAGGAAAGGGGTGGGATGGCTCTGGAGAATGGAGATTTCAATCCGCAGTCCACAGCCCCTCGCTCAAATAGCTGAAGGAGAAGTTCGGCAGGCTGGAGGTAAAGGATACGATTCCTGTTGCCCAGCAGGTGGGTGCTGTGGGGGGAAATGCCAAGAACTATCCATCTCTTCATCCCCCTTGCCAGAGTTCCAGCCCAACCACCAGGGCCCGTGCCACTTTGCCCATCCCCCAACCAGCTGAGATACCAAGCCCTGTATCCCAGCCAAGTCTGTTGCCACAGGATGCCAGTCCTGGAGCTCAGCCAAGAGAAGTCTGGAGAGTGGTTCGGCCATGTTCCCAGGACTAGCAATCTTCCCAAGCCCAGCAGTAGGTGCAGGCGGCTCCACTGAGGTTTGAGCCACCTCCTATCAAGCCCACCTTTTATGGGGATCCTGAGAAGCTGACCTTCTTCTTAAACCAGGTGCGGGCTCATTTAGATCACTATGCTTATGCCTATCTGGATGGGACTATGATGGTGAATGCTGTGTAGCAAATTTAGAGGGGGAAGCGGTTGACTCTGTGACCAACCTTCATGATGAAGGGGCTCCTGAATTGCATGACATTAATCTATTCATGGAACAATTTGAAAATGAATCCTGAGCCCTGCTGGCCAACAAAGAAATCCAATGCCTGAAGCAAAGAGGTTGGCCT